AATCTGTCTTGGAAGAAGTACCAACAGACTGCTCCTTTAAGTAAAGATTACTAGACTTTGCCTCAAGCACTTTAGTCATATTTTCAGGAAAGAGCAATACCTGGATCTTTGTAAAGTAGATGGTCACCATAAAAGAGGAAGACCATTAATAAGATGGACTGAAATAGTGACTACAGTAATGGCCTGAAACACAGCAGTGATTGTGAGGATGGTGAAGGACTGAGGAGTGAGTTGTGCTGTTGTTCATGGGATCACTTAGTTGGATCTCACCAGATGACACCTAACAACAACAGATAGGTGCTTGGCATGATTCCAGATGGTAGGGTGTCTTGTGTACCTCTATTAACCTAGACTGAAATCCCATGTGATTTTATTGACCATTGTTAAAAAGGGGGGGAAAAAACAAGAACAAAATTATATTTCATGAATATAAAAAAAGGAACATTTTCCTTAAGTCCAAGAAAAAGGAAAGTTAGATCCTCAAGATAATCTATCTTGATAGATATGGCCACAAACTTGATAGTCTATAGACTTGACACAATCCTTTTAAAACATGACGTCAAGATTTTGAGCTAATCCTCTCTTCTTATTTTCTAAATCCCCTATTAGATGTATTAGACCTTCACATTCTCTCTTGACCATTCATGGGTTTTTTTCTCTCTTTGCCTCTGAGTGATACATTTTCTGTGAGCATTCCTTGAACTTTTTAGATTATGTTCTGAAGCAGTTAGCTCGAGATTCTGCGTTTCTAACTAGTTACAGAGTGATGCTGATGCTGTGAGTCCAGAGACAACCTCTTAGTTAACTTGGGTTTCTATATGATTTCTTCAGATTGACATGCTAGCTCACTAATTTTCTCTTTAGCTGTATCTAACCTTATATGCATGTGACAGTTGTTCAATGAATAAAGAAGACTGTAGAAGAATTGATGCATTTGAGTTATGGTGTTAGGGGAGACTATTAAAAGTACCATGGACTGCCACAGAACAAACAAATCAGTGTTGGAAGAAGTACAGCCAGAATGCTCTTTAGAAGGCAGCATGGCCAGACTTTGTCTCTCACACTTTGGACTTATTACCAGGAGGGAGCAGTCCCTGTAGAAGTACATCATGTTTTGTAAACAAGAGAGACAGTGAAAAGGAGGAAGACCCCCAATGAGCTGGATTGACACAGTAGCAGCAGCAGTGGGCTCTAGCGTAGCAATGATTGTGAGGTTGCCGCAAGACCGAGCAGTGTTTCATTGTGTTGGACATAAGGTCGCTATGAGTCAATGCCAACTCGATGACACCTAAGAATAACAATCTGCTATTGAACCCATCCAGTGAGTTTTAAAATTAAAATTTAAAAACTATATTAATTTCTATAAGTTCTATATGGTTTATTATTAAAAGTGCTTAGTCCTTTTTCAAAGCATATTTTTATTCTTTTGGAGTTTTATACTTACCTACTCTGGTAGAGTAGTGTTTACGAATTGGGCTGCGAACCGCAAGGTCAGCAGTTCGAAACTACCAGCTGTTCTGCGGGAGAAAGATTTACAGCGTTCTACTCCCATAATGATTTACAGCCTCGGAAACCCTGTACAGGGTAGCTATGAGCCGGAACCGACTCCACGGCACATAACAACAACTGCAATAATAAATTTAAACTTATTTTATAGCTCCGTTTAGATTTTTCTACTCTCTGCAGATTTTGGAGGGCTAAAAACTTTCTTTTTTCTGTCCATTTCATCTGTCTGCTGGTGATTCTTCAAGGTGAAGATGATTCTTCAATGATTCTTCTCCTGTGGTTTAATTTTCTTTGGTTTGTATAGTTTGGGGTTTTCACTTTTTCAGTATGAACTTGTTTTCATTAGAGTGTGTAAGAGAGAAGAAGCATTTCCTGTGTCCCCTGGATTGTGAAAGTGCATCTACAAGTTGTTTCCCACTGATATCTGTCAGAGCTCCTGGACCAGCTTGGTGTTCCCACACTTTGCGGGACACTATCTAGGTAGACCCCAAACCTGAGTTGCCAGTTTCTCCTATCCGTTTATTTCTTATCCTCTGTGGACTCCTGGTGTGGTGCTGTAGGATCAGCGTTGGACTGCGAACCACACGGTTGCCAGTTCAAACCTACCAACTGCTCCTTGGAAACCCTATACAGGGTTTCTATGAGTCAGAACCAACTCAACAGCACTTAGCGACAACAACAACTTGGGCCTTGTAAGGACCCCTGGTGGAACTAGTGCTCAAGTGCTTGGCTGCTAACCTAAGGGTTGGCGGTTCGAACCCACCAGTAGCTGTAAGGTAGAAAGATGTAGTCGTCCACTTCCCTAAAGATTACAGCTTGGGGCAGTTCAGCTCTGCCCTATAGGATCTGGTATGAGTCTGAATCAACTCCACAGCCATAGGTTTGGTTTGGTTTGTTTTGATATACCGGGCCCTGCATGATGGTGAGCCTCCATAGAGGGGAAAGGGTTTCAAGCTCTTAACTTCCTTTTGGCACTTCCCTGCTGGGATGTGGCCTTTAGGAACACTTCCTTTCAAGATTTCCTGTTGTACTTAACTGGCTATATGTGTAGAGGCTTTCATCCTTAGTTTTTAGTCTGTTTTGTGACTATCTCACCTGCATTTTATTTTGAGTTTTTGTCCTTCTGTCCTGAAGACTATCTGGGTCTTTCTTTTTTTCAAATCTTGGTTACACTAAGCAAGCTTTGAATATGTCAGTTTTGTAGAGTAATCTTATAGTGTGGAATTTTTTAATCATAATTATGTCACTGAGAGTGGGTCCTACCCCTATATTAATCATACTCCATAGTACTTGCTCCCAAAATGGGTTCTATTTTAATCTCCTAAAGATAAATTAGTGTATAGTGGAAAGGGAATGAAAGATTTGCTAGGAATTAAATGAGATGATTACCACAGACATCCACACAGGCATGTCTGTGCCTTGTGCAGGGAAGAAGAATGTTCAGTACAGATTCTGCTGTAATGCCCATTGTATCTTACTAGCTTTCAGTAACCACAGGATCTGTCATAAATGTGTATCTCCTGTGAGCAATAATAATAAAATCAGGTACCCTCCATAGAGAGCTTACTTACTGTGTGTTCTACCAACAGGGCTAGCACTTTATATCAATTGTTTTATTTAAACCTTCCAGCAGCTCTTTGAAGTAGGTGCTATTATTATCCCCATGTTGAAACTGAGGCACAGAGAGGTTCAGTGACTCTCTCAAGGTCCTAGAGCTAGTAAGTGGTAGTCCTGAGATTTGAACCCACACAGTTGGAGTCCAGAGTATGAGCCATTTACCACTGTGCCTCCATACTAGTACGACCTGCCAAACTCTCTCCATAACCCTCCTCAGTCTTTATCTGAGATCCCATATTTTGGGAGGGAAAACTTCTCTTTCTGATCCTTATGAAATATAATTTCCTTTAAAAATTTTATTTAAAAAAGTATTGGGTAATGGAAATCTGATCGGATTTGAGCCTTTGTTGGTGGAAATCCACATGGCATGTGGGCTGAAGCATTCACTCTGACTTTTCTTTCCATCAGCGAATTGTTAAAGTATTAAGCAAGTAGATTCTGATAGAAACAGGGACAATTCTCTTGAGAAAGCTTGGATGTGTTAGATCGTTTTCTCAGAGGGCGCATTTTCTATCTTCCATCTTCCTTACTCTCCCACCTGATCTCAATCCATTGGAGCTCTGAGACTATTCTTTTAGGCTTCCTGGGAGCAACCTCCCCTGGAGCCATCCCCTTGCCCCTGCGCGTCTCTCCCCCACTCCAGTTCCTTGCTGACGCTCATGGTGTTGTCATTGGGAACTTTCTCTGTAAGGGGAAAACAGACTGCTGCTCATATCTGGCACACAGCTTTGGCCAGAACAGGAGGGGTTAAACCAGGAGTCTGGACCATGAAGGTCTGTGACAACCATCCTAGGGGGAGCTCTAGGGAGCCTGAGCCCAAGCCCCAGCGGTGACTCATCCTGCTTGCCACTCAGAGCAGCATTGGCCCCTGCCTCTTGGGCAGCCAGGTGGGGTTACAGCCAAAACACCCACCGAGAGGGGAGCACAGAGCCTGCACTGCAGGGGATATGATGCCGCCCTGTCCGGCTGGCCCGCCACGGATGGCCCAGCCCGCAGCCATGGTAACACCTCTGGCCGGCTGCAGCCCTGGGAGCCCACCGCAATGAGCAGCCTCCTGGTGACTGCAGGACAGCCATCCACCTCACTGACCCACAGAGCTTAGTAGATGGGCAGGAAGCAGAGAAGATGTAAGATGCCCCCAGCTGGGAAGCATGCGGTGTAAGGAGGTAGGGGCTCTGCCGCAGTTGTGCCTCCAGGGGTGTTGTAAATCACTGGGAGGAACTTTCTGTAGCTGGGATTTCATTATGCTAATTAAGCTGCAGTGGATTCGGTGGGCCTGCTTGAGGTAGGGAGGTGGGATAATGAACTGCAGAAAGTGGTTGGTAAGATTTCCGAGTAGTCTCCTCGGGCTATGGGCTATGAATAAGCTAGACTGCAGTGCTACCCCGGAGTGAGTTACAGCATCTCACGCATCCTCTATCTGTTCCTTAGCCTACTCAGGTAAATCTGTGTACCGGGCAATTTCTGTGATTAGCAGTAACTATGAATAATCTAGACCTGTCGAGATGAGGAAATGAATAGGTCTAGATCACCCACTGGCTGGCACGCACTGCTGATGCTCCGTAGTCGTGCTGGGAAAATGTTGAGAACCAGCACTTTGTCCAAAGGAGTTGTCAGGTGATTCCATTTAATCAAGTGACCTGTTTGAGTTATCCTTCAGTGTAGCCCAGCAGAGAAGGCAAGCTTGTCTGCGGGTTGGTGGCCATGTTGGCAGAGAAGGGGTTAAGCTCTTGTTGCTGTCGGAGCCGTGAGGAGATTGAGAGCGGGCGCTGCAGTGCCCCGGAGAACGCTGAAGGAGTAAGACGCTTTTCTCTGCAACAGTGTTGAATCCGTCTGAACGCTCTCTTCTCCCCCCCTTCTTGTTTTTCTTTAACCAGCTCCTCCCCCCTTCGTTCCCACCCTCAAGTCTGATGATGACACCTCCAATTTTGATGAACCAGAGAAGAATTCGGGGGTTTCATCCTCTCTGTGCCAGCTGAACCCCTCAGGTTTCTCAGGCGAAGAGCTGCCATTTGTGGGGTTTTCATACAGCAAAGCACTGGAGATTCTTGGTAGATCTGAGTAAGTGGTAATTTGACTTTCTAAGGGATGGGAATGGGTGCAAGGCAAAGAGCCAAAGGGAGGGAGGTGGCGGGTGGAGGGAAGCTGCTCTTCAGCCTTCTTTTGGGAAACAGCGTACCTGTTTGGGCTCTGTTGGGATAGACGGGCACCCTGCTCATTTTGCTGTGTTTCAGGTACCTGTCCCTGTCAGCAGCCTTATAATTGTCAGCTGGATACTTTGGATTAGTTTTTCTGTCTTTGGTCTTTTCGAGGGGAGGGCAAGTGGGAGATTTCTAGTGGTGCAGATGCTTAACCGAAGGATTGATGGATGGGATTTAAGATGAGCAGTCCATCTACCCAGCCATCTCTGTGTCCATCATTCAGGTTGTGGTGGTGGTGGGGTGTTATCTTTGCTGTTTTGCAAGAATCCTGAAGACCACTTCTCATTAAGTGAAAGGTTTCTTGTTAGGTTTAACTGAGCTGCAAGTGGCTGTGCGCAGCCCTAACCCTGAGCTGCAGGATCAGGGAGCCGGTGGCTGAGATTCTCCAAGCTGGCAGAACGCTGGCGGTCAGAGAAAGCCCGGTTACCATGAGCCACCGGGAGGGAGTGTGATGTAGCAGAGTCATTGATTCACAGGGATCAGGCTTCACAGGAGGAAAAAAACCCAAACCAGAATACTAGAAAATAGGAGTATAAATACCACTGTAAAGCCCTTGACTCAGTAGGTCTTTCTAATGAGAAACACATTCATACTGCACTTACGGTTTGAGGGTCCTGGCTTCCAACCTCCAGAAATTCTTCTGAAATGCAGCATCCTCTGTGGACGTGGTTGCTCACTGTCTTGCTTCGGTTTCTGTACGATGATATTCTGATTCCACAGGAGCAAGTTCCCAGGAAGGTCTCCGACCAGCGGTGTTACGCCCAGGCACCCCACCGCCCTCACGTTGTGTCTCTTGGGGGATGTTGGGTAATTCATTGCTGCCCACTTAGGAGATGAGCAGAATGTGATTTTTCTCCTTGAATGTATTCGTTCCCTACATGTTGTGCTCATAGCTTAGGTGTTGAGTCTGGAAGATGTAGTGTTGGTTCCTGGATGGTGTTTCCTCATGGGTGCTGTCCTGACAGTACCATTCCTGAAAAGATTTGAGACTATTGTTGCAATTGGACATTTAGACATGAACTAGGGTTTGGGACTGTAATTGAATTTGAGAGAGGTTTTTGTGTTGAGAGATGTTGAGGGGCTCCTTCTTTGTTCCCTCCTCAGCAGCTGGGTTTAAAATTTGGGTTGGAATTTGACTGTGCCTTTCTTGGTGATTTTCTCTACAACCCCTAAACAATCTGTATAATGGCAGGGGAGGCAGAAATCTAGCTAGCTGTTGAATGCGCTTCCAGATCAAGCTGGAATGAATGGTACATCAGGGCTGGGAGGTTCTGCACTGACATCGAAGGACAGGATAAGAGTGGAGGCTCAATGGTAAAGGTGGCATGGTTCGTGGGCAGTGTGACCTTGACACACACACAGTGCACTGAAGGTCACACACATATTGGACCGGAAGGAGATGTGTAAAGAGTTCTAGTTCTGGCTAGCAGTGGGCTGCCTGGGTCAGAATGAAAACTTGCTGCGGGTGTTCATCAGTCATTTGAGAAACAAGGGAGGACCCTGGGGAGTTTGATTTCAGGGGCAAAAGCAGAACGGTGTGGGAGATTCTAGGCATTGCAATTAATCCACTGCAGTGTGTGATTAATTGCTTATTTTTCAGGAAGGGTGTAATTGCATCTCTGTGCTTCTTAACAGAAAGGCCTCTCAGTCTTAAGCCCCAGGCACTCAATAAATATTGGTTGATGCAATTTATTTATGATCCTTTCCTCTAGATTGTGTATCTGTTGCTCATTGTATTTATTTGTAGAAATGCTGTTTTACCTTTGGTGGCTGAAAATGCAAGGGGACTTCAAAAAGTTGGTGGAAAAAAACTCCATTATCTTGTCATTGTCATTTGATTTTTCCATGAACTTTTGAAAACCTCTTGTATATCTTTAGAACGTAGAATGAGCTTCTTTCTGTTCAGTCCCCAACAGAATTCCTAATAAGAGTCTCATTTTTAAAAAGCATATGCAAACAAAAGATGTGTATCATATCTGGAAGATGGATTTGGAGTATTCCTGTCTTGGGAACTTCAGTTTGTTCCCATGGCAATATGGGGTTTTCTCTTAGGGTGTTGTATGATGTTGTTGGCTTGGCTGCTCTGCTCTGGGGCAGCTGTGAAACCTGCAGGGTCAGTTTAGAAATTCACTCCACCTGTTGTATGGGGCTCACCCTGGACTTGGATTATCATTTTGGATGATGAAAATCCTATTTTTGTTGTTGTTAAGTACTGTTGAGTCTTTCTGACTCATAGTAACCTCATGTATGAAAGAATGAAACACTGTCCCATCCTGTGCCGTCCTCACAATCATTGCTTTTTGAGCCCTTCATGTCATTGAGAGTCTTTCTCTTTTTCACTAATCCTCCACTTTACTAAGTGTGGTATCCTTCTCCAGGACTGGTCCCTCCTGGTAACTTGTGCAAAGTACAAGAGACGGAGTCTCCCCATCCTCACTTCTAAGAAGCATTCTGGCTGTACTTCTTCCAAGACAGATTTGTTTGTCCTTTTGACAGTCCATAGTATGTTCATCATTCTTCACCAACACCGTAATTCAAATGCATCTGTTCTTTCACATGCTTCAAAATGTTTGTGGAAAAATGGAATTGACAGATAATTGGAATTATTCCATGAACTTGTTGAAGCACCAATCTATAAGGCAATTGAACATACTTGGATCAGAGTCCAGGTGTGGCACTGCCGGTTAATGCGCTGAACTACAAGGTTGGTTTGAACCACAAGGTTGGCGGTTCAAACTCACCAGCTGCTCCTTAGAAACCCTGTACAGGGTGAGTATGAGTCAGAAGCTACTTGATGGCACTTAACAACAACAACAGCAGCAGCAATGACTTGGATCGGACGCACCTTAGTCCTCAGAATGACATTCTTTCTTTTCAAGACTTTAAAAAGGCCTTTTGCAGCAGATTTGCCCAATGCAATGGATTGTTTCTTGACTGCTGATTCCATAGGCATTGATTGTGGATCTGAGCAAAATGAAATCCTTGACAGCTTTAATCTTTTCTCTTTATCATGATGTTTCTTACTGGTCCAGTTTTGAGGATGTTTGTTTTCTTTATGTTGAAGTGTAATCCGTATTGAATTCAGCTCTTCAAGTCCTTTTTACTTTCAGTAAGCAAAAATCCCATTAGAAGTCCCATAACAGAGGTATAATGACAGGATTACTTAGCAACTTGTACAGTTCCGTTGACAATATTTACAAAGTGTATTTGGAGGTAGCGGGGAGGCATTTTCTGTGAGGCTCATGTTTGCTGCTTGAGTCTCTCCTCCTGCCTGTTCTTTTTCCACATCGGGGGTTTTTATTTACCCTCACTAATTGCCTGTCCTGTTACTCACTCTTCACACCATGGAAAAGCTTACAGGTGCTGCTCTGCTGTGCTGGGGTGCATGGACCCCAGATTGGTTCCCAGTGAACTGAATGAAATGTTCTTAGAGGGAACTGAATACATTATGAGTTTTCACGGGAACTCTTGCAGTGAGAATGATTTTAATTGTTGTGATCACTCATCCCTTTTTTAGGTTCCTTTTAAAGGACCCCAGCCTATTTTTAAGCCAGCCACTGAGAGTGTATCCTTATTTTAGGTTTAGCAAGAATCTTGATATCAGCATTTCCATTTCTGAGTAGTAGTGGATGTTCCCTGCAGCCTGGGTCAGAGGGAACTGGAGGGGTTACTGAGAATTGGACCTGGCTGTCTTTGGGGTGGGGTGATGGCAGAATCAGTGCTGGGGAATGAGTGAGTATCTGATACCCTCATAAGCTAACAGTGACCCAAGTTGAGTCCTGAGTGTCTGGTGGGTGTCTTGCTGAGCCCCTACCACCTGGATGTTACCATAGTATGAGGGTCAAAGAAATCATTTGTGCTAAGGGGTTCAAAATAAAGTGGTTACCAGCTCTTTCTCTTCCCTGCCCTTCAAGTCCTTTCTCCTGAGATACTGCCTAATTTTAAGCTCTTGCTTACACTGACCACATATTCCTGCAAGACTTTAGTATGAATTCTAGAAGGAAAAACCAGTTGGTTTTATATCCTCTGTTAGTTTTCCATGTTCTCATCTTGTGCGTTAGGAGATGCTGGAAATCTTAGGGAAGCAGCAGAATACTGAAGCGATTGGAATGAATAAGGTTTGGATATCCCGACAGGCCATTTTTAGGAAGGGCATTTGATGGATGGCTCTTTGCTTGCTACCTATGGGCGGGTCAGAAAATGGAGTTATAAGCCAGCCATTCAAACACCATCGTAGAAAGAAATGAGTGTCACCATTGTCTTCCTAAATTTTCAGGGAACCACTTTTTGGTGCTCTGCTAGGCCTTCTTGACATACCAATTTTCTTAAATTGCCAAGGGAGTTAATAATGATACTTACCTCATTGAGTTGTTGGGAGGATTAAGTGAGATGTACATCAAAAAGTATTGCTGCGAAATAGTAGGAACTTTTATTAAACAAAGATATCATAATATGAAGCTCTTGTTTCTTGACATAGCCTCTGTCTCGGTCTATACATGTTTCTAACCCTTCCTTGAAGAATTCTGCGCTCTGTTTACATCCCATCAAAATGGCAGTTTTGGCATCCTCACAGCTCTCAAGTAATATTCCTTTAAAATGTTCTTTGACAAAAAAGAAGTCTGAAGGGACAAGGTCAGAGATGTAGGGCAGATGGGGTAAGGTTTCCCAATGAAATTTGTGTGGGGTAGCCCTTGCTACCCTTTGAAAAATGAGCAAGTGTGTTGTCACGGTAGGAAAAAAATAACACAGTTCACCTTTCCCAGTCTTTATCTCACCAGTGTAGTTTTCAGTTTTCTTAAAACTTCTTCTTAGTAAGGCCCCATGATTGTCCTGTGTCCTTTGAAAAAAATCTATTAAGAT